TCTGTAATGGTGAGAGTTGCTGGTTCTGCAGGGTCTTTTGTCTTTCAAATGCCGGGTTCTTGTCTGTGTTCCTGGGTGAGGTCTGTGGTTCCTGGATGAATCAATGCGAACTGATGGCTCAGTCGTTACAGGCCATTCAGTAGAGGCCTGCTACCATTGTATTTCAATCATTCCCAATCACTCTCATTCATCCGGGAACCAATTTACATGGGAAGGGTACATGACTCATATAGTTGCGAAACAGGAGATGCCCGGGCAGAGGACACAAGATGGAGACTTGACATACAAAATGGAAACTTGACATGAGTTTGGTTCACTTACAAACACAGTCCTAAACCATACAATATCCATATGAAACAATTAAAATCAATACCAAAATGATAATAATACAATATACAACAGTAAAAATCAGTACAAACCTAGTAATTATACAATATAAAACAGTGGATATCCAAAACCAAAAACTTGCTACCAAAATAAAAATGTTAAAGCTCATTCTACATCTTAGCTTGCTTATAGTTATCAATAGGGAATAGAGAGGGAGAGAAAAAGTCATAAATGGTTGGGGAAGGGGAGGGAATGCATTTTAAAATAAATAAATAAAATAAAAAAAAAGAAAAACAGGGGTTTTGCTACAACACAGGTAGAATTTCCTGGGCAAGAGGAGTAAGTCTACTGAGGAGAATGTGGGCAAGGATCTTCCCAGCTATAGACAGGAGTGCAATGTCACAGTAATTGCTGCAATCCAATTTATCATTTTTTTAAAATATGGTTATGATACTGGCATCTCTCAAGTCACTAGGAATCTGTTGATGTTTCCAGGTTTACAGAATAATGGTAAGTAGTTGATGAGAGAGCTTTTTTTCACCATGCTTATACATTTCAGCTGGTAATCCATCAGGAGCATGTTTTGTTGTTCTTCATCATCTTAAGGTTTGTGGGTCCGCAAAGTAGATTTTAATGCGGTGTTGTAGAATGGCCTTGCTGGAGCATGGCTTGCTATGGCCACCTATTAGTACATGTAGAAATGGTACAGAGGTCTGATAGCACCATGAACCACAGTAGGTTTCAGTAATAGTTTGAACCAGAGACCTTGGTGTCTGGAAAGCTGAGCACATATGGCCTAACTGGAAACACTGAGAACATTAGGAGTATTAATGTATAGGCCCCTCAGCTGGCCAGTAGATGAAAAACAAGGGATAAGATGAGTCATCATCATTGGCATCCATTGGCCTTGGGAGACCATGGGGATTGCACCTTTCGTAGGTTACCAAGTACCACCACAGCTTCTTGAGTGGCTGAGGAGTCCAATGCACAACAGGCAGACTGTCTAACAAATTGTGCATACAAACTCGGTTGAGCTTGCAGTGGCATGCTGAGTACCATTTTGTCTTGCCTGCCTCTGATGTCTCTTCTCTAGCTCCTCATTTACCCCCTCCATCTTGAAGCAATGTAAGCCCTGCTTCACAGTGGCTTTCCACTCGCAGCAGTCTGAAGTGAATGATTCGGAGCATGGCCATCGATGCACAGCTCATGTAGGTTTTTCTGGCAGACATCAACGAAATGGAGTTTGGGCCATCCAAGTTCACATTTGCCAGTGACCAGCTCACCATAGAAAATGTCCTTGGGGATTCAGCCATTGCTTATACGGTTCACATGTCCTAACTAATGAAGGCATCTCTGTCTCAGGAGCATGAACATATGGGATATCTTGGCTCATTCCAGAACAGTGAAGTTGGAGATTTTGTCACACCATGTTATGCCCAGGATACAGCAGACCCATCAAACTTGGAAACTGTTCAGTTTCTTTCTTCCTTAGCATAAGGAGTTGATGTTCTACTGCCATACAATATAGAGCTAAGTATGCAAGCACTGTCAATGGACATCTTTGTTGACAGAGTGAACACTCTGTTTTTCCAAACTCTCTGTTGAAGTTTAGCCATGGCATTGCTTGCCTTTCCAATGTAAATGTTAAATTCTGCTTCCAAGACAAGACTTTGCAAGATGGTGGAGCCCAAGTAAGTGAATTTTTCAACTACTTCCAGGCGTTCATCATTTATTCTAACTTTCAGAGGGTGGTCAACTTGTTGTTAGCCTAAAGAAGACAATAGTGCTGGGTCAATCAGACCAAAACCATCACAAATACAAGAAAGGCGATCCATGAGACTTTGCAGTCCTGCATCTGAATGACTAACAATTGCTGCATCATCGGCAAAAAGGTTTTCGTTTTCACTTTGGGATGAGTGAGGTTAAAGAGTTTCCCATCGGATCCAGGTCTGAAGGTATACTTCTTCTGAATAGTCACTGAATGCATATTTGAGTAGGACAGTGAAGAAAATCCCAAAAACATCAGAGCCAGGACACAGCCCTGCTTAAGACCACTCTTGATTTCAAATTCTACCAAATATGACCCATCAAACTGCACTGTTCCACAAGACACCAAAACAGAGCTAACTGGAAGGAAGGTTGCAATATGTAATGAACGTGATTGTCACCTAAACACATTTAGTGATTGGTGGAACTATGAGGTATATGTTGTAAGTATAAAGTTGTTTTGATCAATGTTTAAAAGGGGCCTGGGAAACCTGAATATTTTGCACTGAGCTAGGGACCATATTTTATACCGGTGCCTTATCTTGTACATGAACTTTGCTGGGGCCATGCCTGAATGAGTGTGATGTTAATGTTTGGTGGTTTGTGAACAATAAGCTGAGAGCCTGTGGTCTCTATTGCAGCTAACAAGGGCTTTGAAGTAGTAGCAATCTACTATCCCCAACGGTATCCTGAAGGAGTCCTTGCTGACTATCCCAATGAATCTTGATATAACCAGTACAACACCATCCTGACTGTACCTGATAAGAATCAGATTGTGAACCAAAATATCCTCTTGATCTTTACCTTCTTTTACATTTAAATCATGCCATTTAGCTACTCCTCTGTGTAGGGGGGGTGGTATAGAGCCAAAATGGTCACAGGGGCTCACTGGAAGCTTAGTGCCTCTGTGACATAATGTTTCTATGACTTATTCTGCATGCAGAAATATGTGATCAGCTACTAATACTCATTGGCAGGATTCAGTGCCAATTAGGGATATTTACTGTGTAGTAAGCATGTGTACATGTGGATGCACATGCTTACGTTGCAGTAAACTATGCTAATGCAAAGTTAAACATCTTGTGTAGATGTGCCCAGTGTCTTGCTTACTGGACTCTGCTGCTCTAGGCTAGCAGGGAGCAGAATACACCCCTTTCACAATTTTACATTATGCTTCAGGAAGACATGGGCTGACTGAGCAGCCTGGGTCAGCCAATCAGGGCTGCCTCATGTACTGCTGCTATCTGTCTCCAGGCAGACTGAGGGAGTCTGCAGAGTATACTGAGATGTGCACACAAGAAACCCCTGGTGGAACAGCATCAGCAATGCAAGCTTTCTGCTCTTCAAGGATTCAATATTTGAACGTCTGTTCAGGTGTCTCTGGGAAAGCTTTTGTATCAGGAGAGCAAATGTGGAAGAATTGTCATAGATCATTTGAACATGTATACTCAGCTGTGTCTCCTTTGGGATGCTATTGCCTTTAGGTGTAGAGAGCAGAATCTAATTTTTGAATACAAGGATTAGGAGTTTCTTGTAGGAAACTCAACCTCATTCCTGCAAGAGGCCTTAGATGAGCCTAAAAACCTATGGCTGGCTTTGCTGTAGTATCTCAATGCCTTGGGAGATCCAAATGGATATGTCAATTTAGACTTCTCTTTCACATCTCATAATTTTTCCTTTTTTCCTTTTTTATACATTTCATGGACAGTATTCATTTGCAATTAATTCTATGGACTTAAAATAGCTGTACTTGGAAGGGGGCTCCAGGGGCTATTTTTTAAAATTATTATTAATTAAGATGCTAAATGAAATGTCAAACAAAATAATTATAAATCATTGCATTGCTGCCAGTGAAATATTGCTGTACAAACACTCTTTTCAAAGACTGCTTTCTTATTTGCTCCAGGAATGTGGGGAAAACTGATTGGTTGGATACAAGTACAGTATTCCGTGGAACAGCTGCTTTGGGTACCTATTCTGTGTTCTGCCTTCATTGTACTCAGGGAAAACTTACATATAGTAGCAAAAGTGCCTTGTCAAAAAAAATACAAGAAGTCTGTGGCAGAGGAAGGAATATAATTTGGTTATCTTATTTTTTTCCCTATATTTTAATCACGTGTTAAAAGAAGTCAGTCACATCTCACTTGCTTTATGTTCTTGTATATAGTGTTTCTTTAATGGTGTTAGTGAACTCCATGAGTAATGATTATGAAAAGTGAAGGGCAGCAAATATTTACAGATCTTATGTTTGGATGCATGTTCACTACAGCTGATTGGAAAAAGGTAAGTTTGCATTACACAATCTCTCTGGTTATTTAGCTTTTTCTTATTTCAATTTAAACTACCGCAGGTACTTCAGGGCCAGGGACACATTTGATTACCTACCTATGGTCTATGATCAGGAAACAGATATATAAGACCTAGCTCTGGGACAAATTTTCTCAGCTGAAGACATTCAATGTAAGTTAAAGTACCCTGTGTTGGCAGTAAGTACTACCTTTCTTCAATGCTGCCTTGTGTTCTCTACCTGGCAAGTAAGGAGTAGAGCTACCCACTCTACTACCATCTCTACTTACTCCCCCAAGAGAGGGAATAAGCAAACAAATACCCCAGCTTTCTCCAACATACGAGGACCCAAACATCACTATAGCTTCTATAGGGTTGTGAGAATTGATCTTACTCCTTTGCATGGATGTGTGTCCAAGTTACAATCTAATCCTTGACAACTACTTCATTTAATAAACTATAGGCTGAAACTTGTTCACACAAAAATATCTAAACAATTACATGTAAATTATTTGCAAACTTTTTGTGAAACATGAAGGGAGTAAATTATGGCAGGTTTCTTCACTCATCTTTTATCAGTCTTTGTCCAGAATGTGTGTGGGTGTTGTGTGTATTATTTTTTAATATGTAATATTAATGTAACTTGCTGTGTTAGCACTGGTAGCCAACATCTCGCAGAAGCTGTTTTCCAGTAGTTGAAGCTCTGCCTAAAGTGACTTTAAACACTGATCTACAAGTCTAATGCAGACAGGGAAGAGAGCCAACCAATTAGCTTTGTTCTGCAGTGTTCTTTTATAAAAACTACCATGAAACTGCCTTGAATACTACAGGAGGTACTCTAACACTGAAGTTATGTGCTAACTGACAATAGATTCAACAAATAACTTCTGACTGAACAGCTTGTTCATAGCTCCATTTCATGTCAAATACCAAATGCTAATTTGCTGCAACTCTATTATGAAGCCCAGAGTAATGAAGTGTTAACAATTGTCTTTCCCTTCCTCCAGTTTAAGACTGTGTTCCCTTCTGAAGAGCTCTGACTATAACAATTTTTTTCACTGAATTGAATCACAGAACTTGCTTTACAATAATTTAAGTAAAGCACAAGAGAAAAATAAAGTCACTTCCACAAATGACAAGTCAAAGAATAAAAAAAACCCCAAAAAACCCTGCTCTGCACAATTGACCATGATGCTTCATGTTAAAAAATAACTTTGCTAGGAAAGCAGATTGTATTTGTCATTTGTTATGAAGCCCACAGAAAAGGATATTTCATATTTGACATGATTAATGCATATTAAAATTAAAATAATGTTACCCTCTTTACCTGAATGGTTAGCCAAAATTCCAGGTCTTTTAGGTTATTCCAGTTTGGAGTTAGGCAGCTTTGATACGGTTTTATTTACAAGAATGTACCAAGTCCCATTTTCTTGAAAAGAAGAAATTAAAGAATCCCTGTCAGCCCACTTCAACACATTATTTTTGTTGCAAATATAAATACATATACATATACATATACATATATATATATATATATATATATATCACAGTACCTCTCTTAAACTGTCCTGTGGTTGTTATGGCTCTTTTCATAGTCCAAAGCATGTAGTTACAATTATATCTTACACCTTCCTGTTACAATGTCCACAGTGTACACCCATGCATCCTCATGTCCATCACCATCACCCTTGCCCATCATAATGACACAGCCTTGCCCCTAAACTCTTCCCCCCTCAATCCCCTCCAAAATTGCACTTGTTAGGCTCTTTTGGTGGGTCAGGACCTATGCTAGATCAGGCTTAGATGTTGTTTCTGGACTCTGCTTTTCTACCTGAGCAGTTTTTCTTTTTTTGTCACATACTCCTTGCCTAGAGCAGTACCCAGCAAAGACTCTGCCATCACAGTTCAGATACCTAAGTCTTGCATATGCCTTTGTTTCGAATGGAAGCATGCATTTATCTCTCTCTCTCAGCTTTCTTAAAGGATGGTAGTTAAACCTACCAGTTTCAAAGATGTTTAACACAATCTATAACAATAAGATTATTAGTTTCCCTCGTGTTTGAGGTTTTGGCTCTTCTTATCTAAGCATCAGGAATAGTGCAGTATTTCTGACAAAATTATATACAGGCCTAAATCATGTCCATTGATTTGGGTTTTTTTGGTGGACTCGCTTTAATACACTTTACGATCTTCCACTTCATGGAACATCATAGGTACATGGCCATGCTAAATTTAACTGATCACATAAATCTAGGGGAAACAGGTCTTCCATCCTTTTCTTAGAATCAAGGCGGGGAGTTGTTTTTGATTTTGATTTTTTTTGGTGACATCTTTCATTGGATAGAATTGTAGAGTTGGGAGAGCTTTTGGACACAAAGTACCTTTCATAGATTTCACAGATTTCATAGACATAAGGGATCTCGGAAGATCATCGAGTCCAGCCCCCTGCCCAAAGGGCAGGAAGTCAGCTGGGGTCATAGGATCCCAGCAAGATAAGCATCCAATTTGCTCTTGAAGGTGTTCAATGTAGGTGCCTGAACCACCTCCGATGGCAGGCTGTTCCAGACCTTGGGGGCTCGGACAGTAAAGAAATTCTTCCTTATATCCAGCCTGAAATGATTTTTCAGTAGTTTATGACCGTTCAACCTTGTCATCCCTTGGGGCGCTCTGGTGAACAAATGTTCCCGCAGATACTGGTGGTCACCCCTGATAAACTT